TATCTATCTATCTATCTATCTATCTATCTATCTATCTATCTATCTATCTATGATGAGTGTGCCTCCTGGGCTGACAGTGCTCCCCACAAGTCCCATATGACCATTTAACAAAAACCCCAGAACCTAGAATGAGAAAACTCTTTTAAAGTTTTTAGTCAGGGGACTCCAAGAGATTCCTGAAATAATATAGGTTATTTCATCCCACAGGCTGAAGGTGAGTGCCCATTGGTGAAGATGAAACACACTTCAGACCAAGAACTTGGAAGATTTGACTTTCTTCCTTCCTCCCTCCTCTCTCCCCTCTCCTCTTCCTTCCTCCTTTGGGAGTAATTTAAGAAGAATTGATTGCAAACAGTTGAAAGACTGGTAGAATTCTGCTGTGAATCATTTAGGCCTGAGCTGTTTGAGGTGGATCTAATTTAATAAAGTATACACTTTTAAAGGATCCCCGTATAATATTCTGAATTTCTTTGGTGTTTGTTGTAATGTTTCCACGCTCATCTCTGATTCTATTAATTTGGGTCATTTCTCTCGTTCTTTTGGTTAATTCAGTCAAGAGTTTGTTGATCTTGTTTATCTTCTCAAGGGACTACCTGTTAGATTCATTGACTCTTTGTACTGTTTTCTCTGTTTCTATTTCATTAATTTCACCTCTGTGGGTTTTTTTGTTTTTTGTTTTTTAAAATAATTCCTTGCTGTCTGTCTGCTGGGTTTGTTTTGCTTTTGTTTTGCCAAATTCTTGCATACATTATTAAGTCATTCATCTGTGCTTTTTTTTGGCATTTTAATGTAGAATCTTAGTACTGCTGTTAAATTAATGTGTTCCAAAGGAGTGTGTGTATGTGTGTATGTGTGTGTGTGTGTGTGTTGTGTTTTCATTTTCATTTAATCCAGGAAAAATTTTGTTAGTTTCTTTTTTGACCCATTCATCCATCATTCAGTATTGTGTTATTTAATTTTCCTGAATTTATGTAGTTATTAGAAATTCACTTAGTATTGATTTTAAGTATTATTGTATTTGGGTTCGAAAGAATACATGCAGGTATTTAATTACTTTTGAGTTATTTCTGAATTAAGATTTTGCATGTGTGTGCATATGCATGTGTGTATGTGTTCAAATGAGTGGCCTAGGTTAGAGATGCTTTGGTGGCCTCTTGAGTAGGCTTTATATTCTTTGCTGTTTGTATGGAATTTTATGTACACATCTCTCATGTCTGTTTGATGTATGGTGTCCTATAATTCTGAGGTTCCCGTCATTTTTTATCTGTGTGATCCATCTATTGGAGAAGTTGGGGTATTGAAATCAGTAACTGAGTTGGAGTCAACCCATGCATTTAAGTGTAAGCTCAATTGTATGTGGGGTCTTGTTTTGGTTTTATAAAAGTGGGCATGCCAGGGATGGTGCCTGCATGTTTAGGATTGTGACGTTTTCTTGGTTAATTGTCACCTTGGTTAGAATAAAGTCTCTTTATTTATCTCTTCGGATTTGTTTCAGTTTAAAGTCTCCCCCCGCCCCCCATACAGTGTTATTGACAACTGCATGTTTCCTGGATCCAGTTGCTTGGAATAATTATTTCCACCCTTTTGCTTAAAGCTGACTCCTATTTTTGAAGGCAAAATGAGTCTTTTGTAGGCAATGGAAAGATGGAATTTATTTCTTAGTCCACTCAACAAAATCGTGTCTTTTGACTGGGGGGTTGTCACCATTAATACTTAACCTTAATTACTTGAAGGTGTGTGTTGGCCGCTCTCCTCCTGTAGCTGCTGTTTCTGTTGGTGTTTTCAGTTCTGTTTTGTATTTCAGTAATTATAGTCTCAGTCACTTTCTTTCTATAGTCTTTCAGCTATGATTATTCATCTCTGTCTGAACTACAGCTTCCAGTATTCTCCATAGGGCTGGTTGAGTGGACGCCATTTCTTTTAGGATGTTTATATCATGGACAGTTGTTCTTTCTCTTTCAACTGTGGCAGGTAGACTTTCTGTGTGAAGTAGCCTAGGCTAGCATTCGTGTCCATTTGGAACTCGAAGCTCATTGCCCTAGGTTCTTCTGGCTAATAAAATTTCTGTAGAGAAATCAGCTGTCATTCTGGTGGGGTTTCCTTTATGAGTGACAGAACGTGAGATTTTTCTCCTGCTGCTTTCAGAGCTTTCTTTTCATTCTGTATATTTAATGTTTTGACTGAAGTATGCCACAGGGAACTTCTTTTTGGGTCCTGTCTCTTCTGTGCACTTCTTGGGTATTTTTGGGTTTGCACTCCTCATGTGAAGAAAGTTTTCCCCTATCCTGTTAAGGATCTGGTCTCTTCCATTGATCTGGGATCGTTGTCCTCTGTTCATACCTATACTTTGAAGATTAGGTCTTTTCACGATGTCCTAGAGTTGTTGCATGTTTCTTGAGAGTTTTTTTTCTCTTTCTCTCAAAAATCATATTTTTTATTTGAGTGTTCCAATTCATCTTCTTTATCTTCAAATCCTGGCAGTCTACTGGATCCATTTTGCCCATAAGCCTTTCCCCTGAGTTTTCTATTGGGTTAGTGAGTTTTTCAACTTGATCTTCATTTCACCTTGAGTTCTCATCAATATTTGTATCTCCTTTCTGAATTCAGTTTTCAAACCCTGAATAATCTTTTCTGTTTCCTTCAGTTGAAGGCATATTTGTATTTTCTTGAGTATCATTCAAGCATTTATCATTATCCTCATTAGGTTCTTCGATTTGAACCTCCCCTCCCCCCATCATTTTTAAACACCTTGAAGTTCTTTGGTCAAGTTCATGATCATTCTTTTAAATTCTGTGCCCTGGCTTTAATCTAGGTAATTCTCAGTGGAGAACATTTCTATAGGACTGGTGGGTTTGAGGGCAGACATACTGCCTTGACTTTTCATATCTGTAGATCTGTGCTGTGACCTGGGCATGTGGTGGTGTGTCAACTGACCAGAGCTAGACTGGCAAGCATGGAATTTAACTTTCTCAGTCTCCCACTTTTTTGTCCATCTCTACCTGACCTTGCCTCTTCCTCCCTCTCTATTAGTCTCTCTACTCTCTTCTCTAACAATCCCCACAGGGAAAAACTCTCTCTCAAAAGAAGAGCTTGTTGCAGCCCCTTTAATGATAAAACATAGAGATAGAGGCAATGTGTGTTCACTCCCCAGGTGAAAACTAAAACACAAAGTTTTGAGTGCAGCTTTCCTGAGTTATCGGGACCCTCTGAGATTTGATAAAGAATGTCAGATTGCTCTGCTGATATACAAAGTGAGATTTTCTGACATTTAAAAACAGTTACTGTTTGTTAAGTATCTCCCTTCCCTGATGATCAGCTCTGAAAGCTGAGAAGATACTAACCTAAGATTACACACGATTCATCTTTTGATATTTTTGTATTCACTGGGGCTTTCTTGTATCTCAAAGATACAGGGGTGAAGATTCTCTATCTTTTATTAAACCAAGAGTGTACATTGACTTAACATAGTCATGTATTCATGATTGTTTGTTCCATGAGATTGCTTTTACCTGCAATTTTGCTTCTAAAACAACACGAGGGAAAATTAAATATGCCTCCAGAATTCCTAAAAATAACTAAGGAGGAGTTCCTTTAACCATTTTATAAATTTTCTTACAGCTTTAAAATCAACGTACTATATGATAAAAATTATTCTTGGCATGTCTAATTCAAGAAATGTGTCAAGGTGTGTGTGTGTGTGTGAACATAAACATTTTCAGGGTGACCTTTTAACTTGAAATTACAGAGTTACTGTATGAATGCATAGGTTTGAGTGCCTTTTCTTCTTTGTTCTCTTTCCCCACCTCCCATCATTACTGCATCTTTTAAAAAGTCTGTTATTCCAGGTCTGTATCTTGGTAAGGCAGGCCTAGTTAAAATATAGAGACTGAAGAGTTAACTGTAAAATTTGGGACTGAAGAAAAAAATCACCTTTGTCATAAGCTTAAGCTATAGTTTCCCATTTAGAGGCTCACAAAAGGCATCACGTAGGCAGGCGATCGCAATCACCCTCATTCTGTCAGAAGTATCATTTAGATTTGAATTCCTCTTACAATATGTATGTGATGATGGCCCCTTTCTGTGCTGCAAGCTGTAACCAGAGGTAGTTCAGGTAGATGTGTCTAAAAGGATTTACATGAATAAGTTGGAGGCAAGCAAATAACAAAGAAAAGGGAAGCACCCAGAGGCAGGATCAGGAGGAAACCGTGTTCAAGTCCATCCTCAAGTACATAGAAGTCAAGGCCTACATAAGTCCTGCTTGAAGAGAGACAGAGAAGCAGGGCTGGGCCTGCAGGATAGGTCATCTCCTCCACTCACCAGACACACAACCTGACATCCTGGGGCCAGTATGATGATGTAGTTGGTGAGTGTGATCCCTGATGAACCCAAAGAGTTTTATCCTGACTAGACACACTGTGGAAAGTGAGCACCGACTGTCACTGGTTGTCCTCTGACACTCACACATGCACTGTGACATGTACACATACCTGTTTGCACACACACAATATATAAAGAAATAGGTAACTTAAAGGCAAGTACCTTTCAACTGTAACCTCTCTGTGCACATTTGTGAACCTCAGTGGAAGACAGAGGTCAACCATAACTGTTTCTCAAGATGCAGTGGGAAAAGTTAACTACCTAAAAGCATCAGGTGGACTGAGACGTTCTTGACAGGAAAGCTGACTTGACTAACACCTGTGGAAGCTTCTGCTTGGGCGAGCCACACACCATCCCACGGGTACCTACCTCTTTCAGACTGCAGGGGAACTGATCTGCAGAGGACCATTCTCTCTCCAAAGGTCCCCCCTTTCTATTCTACAAAACCCTAAGACACTTCTCCCCCACCCCCACACACCATGTGTGCACAGTCTCTATTTTCTTAAGAGACTACTGCCTTTCAATAGTTGTGATTAAATGAACAATTCTGCTCCTGAAGAATCTGCTTTCTTTTATTTATACATCACCTCCTGCCACCAGTGCCAATCAAACCTCTTCCACCTTGGTTTTTGAGACAGGGCCTCTCACTTTTACCTGGAAATTGCCTTTGCAGCCAGGCTAGATGGTTAGTGAGTCTTGAGGATAGCAGCCTGTCTCCACCTCCCAGCCCTGGTGTTATAAATGTGTGTTATCTTACCTGCTTTTTTCATGCTGCTTCTGGGAGACCAAATGAAGGTCCTTACGTCCCACACAGTGTTCTGGCTTCATTTCTGTCGCTGTGATAAAATATCCCGAACAAAAGCAGCAGAGGAGAGGAAAAGCTTTATTTGCCTTATAGTTCCAGGTTATAGTCCATCAGTCTAGAGCAGTCAAGGCAGAAACTCAAGCCAACAGTCACATCATAGTCAGCCAGGAGCAAAGATAATGAACACATCCTCTCTCGCTTGCTTGCTTATTCTTAGCTTTCACTCTCACACAGTTTAGGGCTTTCGGCCTAGGGGATGATAT